CGAGAAAAATATAGTAAAAATTAAAATATAAATTAAGAGAAAAAAGGAAGAGAAGATCATAATTATTCTTGAATGAGTCTTTGATAATCTGATCATCTTGTGATTTATTTCTATGAGTGAAGAAGTGATAATTATGTGATTAGAAGAAGTGAAAATTTGATTCCTATTTTGACAAGTGTTTAAATAGTTAAATGATTAGCATCATTTTTTATTACTTGATATAAAAATTCAAGATATCTACAGATGCATCATTTTTAATTGTATCTTCTTGCATTAAAAATGATGTTTGAATCTTTTAGTATTAAGCAATGTTCGTATTTCCATTGCTAAGGGAATAATAGTGACTTAAGTTGGGGGTGTAATATGTATTTATTATTGTGAGTTAATAATAGTCTAAATATTTATTTTATGAATTAATAATGATAAACATACACTTATTTACATAAATAGAGAAAATGGGTTTTTACTGAACTAATGTGAATTTTTTGCTAGTTATGTGATTTTATGTGAAATTATATAATTTTAATATTCATATTTTTGAGATGAAGAAAAATAAAATTAAAAACTGAAAAAAATAGGAGACCCACTAACTAGTTGGGACTTAGCAATTGACCTAAAGGGTGTCGCACATAGGTCGGAAACACAATCAGGGAAACCATGAGCTCGAGACTCAATTGGCTAGAGACCAATGAAGAGCACAAGTGCATCACTCTCTTTCATGTCACTAGGAATTCAGCCAAGTGTGGGGCAAGGAGTGTTCATATATGTGTCTATGTGGGGACAAATCACCTGATTTCATGTGACCTCTCCTTAGGGGTCATAGCCACTATGATTTTAAGAGAGTACATTTGACTAAAGACATGGTACAAATATATTCATTTTAAATATCAAGAAACAACCAACATGGGACTAAAACCCACACCCGGTGTTTTAAGTATTTTAATACCAGAAATTTCCTTGTACTATAAGAATTAAATGTGCCCATGACATTACTAGGTCAAGATTATGTAGGTAATTCATTAATCCTCTCTCACATAGCTAGGCGACTAGTAAAGATTTGAATCCTACTAGAGTCAAAATTTATATTTTTATCTATTTAAATTATGATTTTCTTACAAAGCATGGATTAACAATTATGCTACAAAAATTACTGAATTATCAACAAAAATATCATAAACATGATTTGCAAAATATTGTTACTAACTAACAAAGGATTTTAGATGAAAAGATCATGAATTCATTGAGGAAATGATCTCTAGTTGATCGACAAATATACTATCATTAAAAACAAGGTGATCTGTCGAGAAAATGAGTCATGACCTCCTCAAAACAAACAAAGTAAAAAATGAGCCTCCTCTCACTAAGCATACTAGAGGAAACAGCTTCTTGAGATGCACCTCAGCTTCATCCAATTCATCTCTACCAAGTGATAGCCATTAAAGATTCAAATGCCATTGAACTTTTGCTCTGCTAAGTGATAGTTGCTGAAGATGCTTTATCGACTCATCTTATCAATTTTTAGACTTTTCAAGAAGTTTAAAGATTTCTCACATCATGCATGTCTAAGAAGAATCTTTGAGGTCCTAGACATTACGCAAAAATCATCTTGAATGCTCAAAATTTTAGTAATCACCATTATGATGTCAAAACTATCTTTGTAGTTTTAAAGTTAATTATTATTTAAATTAATAAAATTTTGTGTGATTTAAAATTTCAAAATTCTTCTTTAGTCAACTACAATTCTTTTCGCTTTTATAGATTCTTACAAAATAATCATCAAGTAGAACTCTATTTACTCCCGAATCTCATTTGTCAAGGGTGCTAAGGTCATCATGATGCTAGACACCCATACTTTTTGCATGAATATTGGACAACATGAGGAAAGTGAGGAAATGATAGTTTGGAGAACATAAGCAGTGGGATGAAGGCAATGGAACAAGCTAATAGATTGATCACAGCTTAAAAAAGAATGGAGGCTAGTGAAGCTCAGAATAATTAATAGAAGAAAAGAAGATAATGGCCAATGTCCAACAGTCATTGCCCACTCGCCATGCGAGGACAAAGGGATGAAGGGACAACCCCTACTCAGTTTTGACTTAACTAGTTAGAAGACTCAAATCAAATAGGTGACCAACTCAAGAGAAGGGGCAAGATCATGTGAAGTCATAGCCCAAGATTAAATGGATCCCATGTAAGGTAAAGGAGTGACCCAATACAAGGATGGCACGAAGAGGTCTAACAGTGGCCAATGTCAAACTACCAACAAGCAACAGCCTAAGCCCATTTACGTGAAGAGAAGAGGGAGGTCCACACCAACAGCCCAACTCGAGTAGAAGGCAGCCCACATACACCCAACATCTAAAAGAAGGTGGAGTCATACGTATCAACCAACATACATGTGGCCTCCTACCTGCTCTCTCCTAGGGAGAGATGTACCCTAATGAGGAGACATTCTCAAATGCTGTATTTTTCATTCAATTATCAACTGAAATCCTTTTAAAGAAATCTTAAACCTAAAATGAGTTAATGGTTAGAACCTACTTGTCCTTATTGATTTCTGAACTAAAGTAATTTGAAAATATTTCTGAAAGATAAAATAATAAATTATAAATATTAAGCATATTATCATGTAAATTATGAGAGTTATCACTTTTTGACCAACCCCTAGCTCACTAGGTTGATTATGGAATGGCTTCGTATTAGTTTTATTTTCACAAAGGAAAGCTATCTAATTGTGGAAGATGTTGACATTTAAAATCAGTCAAGAACGTTTACCTTTTGATCAAATGTTGTGGGTCAATTTGTTGCCTTTTAGACATTTTACAAAGTTTCAACTAGTGTTCAATTTCTTGATAGTTATATGCATAAGTTATTAGAGAGAAACTTTAGGTAGTAAAGAGGTTAGGAATCACTATTCTAAATAAATTAGCTATTGAAGAGGGGGTGAATTTATATCGAATTTTTATCTGAAAATATCCTTTATTTTTTACTATTTCTGAATGTTAAAATTCTAAATTCAGTTAGAAAAATGAATAATTAAAAATCAATAAAGCATTTCCTTGATCGGTTATATATCCTATTAAGTAGACTCTATACATGTAATTGTGAAGCACTAACATATATATATATATGAAGCTTATTTGTTGAAATGAGTTCAATAAGAATCAATGAACATTAAAATCGAACTAATAATGAGTCCCTAAATAATTAATGATTTTAAATTTAAAATTAACCTAAATAAAGCACATACATAAGGTAGGTATCTATATGAGACTCACACATTTTTTGAATTGTCATCTATACATTTAACATCATGACCATATATTCCTCATTATATTACACTGAATTAGCTTTCACACATTTGTTCAAAATAATATTCAATTGTATTTCTTTAGTAATGAATATTGTGTATAATTAATCTATTTATCTATTCAATGTGTTCTTGTCAACATCAAAAAATTGTATATGTTTACTTAATGTTACAACACTTCTCTTTTTAGATTTGCTAATCAATAATGATGAGGTATGTCCTGATTATTAGTGTTACTCTACAGAGAAAACTCCCAAGATAGATAACACCTCAATCATTTGGTTAGATGATTCTCTCATGTCTCTATAAGTGGTGAAGAAGAAATTACTTTGAAATGGTGTCAAACTTGAATAACTAGACAAGTCGAATTCATGGAGGGTCATATTTTATCTTCAGTTTCAATTGTGTGGACAAGAAAGAAACAGAGTGAGAGGACGATCAGATGCGAGACATTTATGTTAAAAGATTCGCTCATAGATTATATTTTCTAGGAGTCAAACATCTAACTAGTTGAACTGTCGACCATCAATGCTAAACTACTCAACGATTTGCAGATTGCAGCTGCCATGTCATTTATGAGCTCATATGCTCTGAAGTGATTTCCCACATGGACTTCCTAAGATCTTGGTGGCCCCTAGAAAATCTACAGGGGCTTGACCTACTATTCAAAATGAGTGGGCTGGGAGTCTTCTTCTTCTCTCTCTCAAATGGTGAGCCCCACTTTGTGAACAACAATGAAACAGAGAGAGAAGATTTGTTCATAGCATTCTGCCATCAATCACTACTAGGTCTTTAAACAAAATAAGGCATGCCATCAGCCAAATTCATCACCGAAAAGCCAAGAAATCGTCAATTGATTCCTGGGGGTTAGCACAAAGAGAGTTGTACAAGAAAACTAGGGGAACGAGGGCAACAATAGAAGCTATTAGTTCGCACACAGACCTAACCCTTCGTGGCAACTAGTCGTTGCTGCCACCAACATTGAGCATGAAGGTATTAGTCATGTCAACCGTTATAACTCATTTGGAGGTTGTGTAGAGAGAGAACGAGGGTGGTTGTCATGATCACATCTGATATGTGTGGGCTTGGTTACAGATTGAGATGCTTCCTTTTAGGGAGCAGTTATTTTTTTCTATTCACTATAAATAGGGTATGTATTTCTTTTTTTTTATTACTACAGACGATGAATTTTCTTTTGATTCTATTCTCTCTCTCCATCAACTTTATTCTATTTCTTAGTATCTTCTCTCTCTTCTATTGTTGGTGAAGTCATTATAGAAGGAGATAAGAGTCCATTGTTACTCTTTAGTGTGTGAGTCATCTCAAGGGCATGAAGATGTAGAATTGAGGTGTATGGTGAATGTCTTGTTTTTATCAAGATTTTTGATAGCTTGATAATTTTTTTTCTATTTGTTTTCATTGATATTCAAAAATTGAGTTTCTACTATTATTGTGATCTTACACTTACATATTTTATCTTACAAGTAGTATCAGATTATTAATTTAATTATTTTAGATTTACTATGGCTTCTAAGGTGCTTACTAACATCTAGAAATTAGACAAGTCTTATAACTTTAATCTCTAGAAACATCGTTTGTATGAAATTAGATTTTTATAATGAGAACAAAGTTATTATTTCACTTGTTTCTCTCTTTGATTCATATGATCATCTTATTATGACTTTGTTACATGACAATACAACATCCATTTTCAAAAGATATTATTGACTCATTGATAGAGTATTATCATCAGAAGAAGTATGTTGGTGAAGCTCGTAGTGAAAGTTTATATGTGAAGGGTGGAAGAGAATGTGAAAGTTTGAAAGAGAAAGGATCATTAGGAGATGAGAAGAGCCAATTCAAGTCATAGACAAATTTGTTAGAAAACTAAATTTATCACAATTGTCATGAGAAGGGACACTTGCGAAGAGATTATCTAAAGAACTAAAGTGATAAAACAATAAAAGGTGAATCTAGTTCAGCTAATGTTGTGAAGGTTGAGGACAGAGAAGACAGTGAAATCTATTCTGAACTTGTTGTAGTTGAAGAATTGTCGTATATATGAATTATTGATATCGGTTGTTCTTATCATATGTGTCCTAATGTTGATTGGTTTGACTCATATAGAAATTATTTTTATGAGAAATAATACAGCTTGCAAAGTTGTATGCATTGATTTGGTGAAGGTTTAGATAGTAGACAGAGTGGTTTGAGAACTTGAAAATATTCATCATGTTCTAATATTGCATCAAAATTTGATTTCACTTAGAGTATTGGAGGCAAATGAATGTTGCTTCAAAGAAGAGAATGAGATCCTCAAGATTATAAAGAGATTGCTTATTGTGATAAAGGGAAGACGTCAACAAATGAATATTTATAAACTTACAACAAGTATTGTTATAGGTGGAGCTTATATTACAACACCGGATGATTCCATGATTAATGACACACTTTTATGACATTTGCAATTGAGTCATATGAGTGAGATAGATATGTAGAAATTAAATACATGAGAACTATTACCTAGTGTAAGAACTTACAAATTCAAATTTTTATAAGTACTATATTATGAGAAAATAATGTAGAGTGACATTCAAGATAGTAAAACATGATATAGGTGGTGTACTAAATTATGTTCATTCAGATATGTGTGATCCGATTGATGGGACGTTGATAGATGATGCTCGATATTTTTTGACCTTTGTTGATGATTTTTTTAAGAAAGTCTTAGTATTTTTCTTGAAGCACAAGTTTGTAGTATTTGCAAAGTTCAAGACTTAGTATATAAAGGTAGAGAATCAGATAGGGAGGAAGATCAAAGTCTTACGAACTCACAATAGGACAAAATTTAAGAATTTTGAATTTGATCAATTTTGTGATGAGCATGATATTCAATGTCATTATACGGTGAAGAAGACTTTGTAGCAAAATAGTGTTGCTGAACGGATGAATCGCATGATTACTGAGAGAGCATAGTATTTACAATTGAATGCCGACTTACTCAAAGAATTTTTAGGCGGAAGTTATGAGTATGACATCTTTTTTGGTGAATAAAACACCAAATTCTGCTCTTTATGGGAAAGTTCTTAAAGAGGTATGGATTAGAAATCTTGTTGACTATTTAAATGTGCATATATTTAGATGTTCAGGATATGTTCTTACACATGCTGATGAGAGATTGAAGTTAGATCCAAAGTCGAAGAATGTATCTTCTTGGGCTACAACACTAACATGAAGTGAAGAGATATTGATTTTGGGATTTAGAGACGAATAAAATTATTTTCAGTAGGGATATGATTTTTGATGAAGATCACATGTTGAAGTCTTTTTTTACAAAACAGAAGGTTCAAAAATCTAATGATATTTGAGTTGTTAACAAAGGTTAAAGGTAGAGATTGTGCAAAGTTTTCCTAATTTTGTTGTGAGTGAAGATCGAGTTGTAAAATCATCATATGTTCTTGATTATATTAGTACTAAATAGAGTAGACATGATGTAAGGCTTCCTACTTGTCTTGATGATTATGTTACCTTTGTATTATTTGTAAGAGATGGTGAGCCCACAATTTTTCAAAAGGTAATTAGTTGTCTTAAAAAGGAAAAGTGGATGCAAGCGATGTCGGAGAAACAAGCATCTTAGACAAGAACCACACTTAAGAATTAGTAGATCTTCTTGCATGAAAGCGAGTTATTAGGGTATAAATAGATGTATAAGAAAAAGTCACTAATGATTGATGGTAATCAATCACAATACAAGACAAAGTTTATTGTAAAAGACTTTATATAAGTAGAGAATTGATTATATAAAGATCTTTTCATCTGTTGTGAAATACATGTCTATTCGTTGTTAACCATTATCGTACATGAAGATATAAAACTTGAGTAGTTAGATGTGAAGACGGCATTCCTTCATAGAGATTCTGAGGAGATTATTTACATGCAATAGTTAGAGGATTTCATTGTGTAGGGGTCAGAATATCTTGTTTGTCAACTAAAAAAATCTTTTTATAAGTTGAAACAGACATTAAGACAATAGTATAAGAAGTTTGACTCTTATATGTTGAAGATTGAGTAATATATGAGTTGCAATTTTGACTATTATATTTATATGAAGATATGTGATAATAGTGTTTGTTTAGTTGAGTTTCTCAAAGAATTAATTGAAATTTGCTTCAAATTAGTTAAGATCCATGTTGTTATAATATCTTTGCCATTAAGCTCGCAAAGAATTCAGTCTTCCACAATCGATCAAAGCACATAAAGATTCGTTACCACTATGTGCAGAGTTGTGATGAAGATGGTAAAGTTGAAGTTGTTTATGTGCCTACTAATAAACAGTGAGCAGACATTCTCACAAAGACTCTTGGAAGGGTTAAATTTTTGAGTTTTTGGGAGCTAATTGGAGTGAAGGACATGACGGAACAGCATCGAGCTTAAGGAGGAGAATGTTGGAATTAATCTTGACGTTGTGATCTTCGCAATCAATCAAGTCAGCCCCGCCTCAATTCATGTGTTATTTTTGAATTCCTTGTATTTCTCTTTCCTTTGAATGATTCAATTACAGCCGTCCGTTATGAAGTTATAACGACTGTGATTGCGTCTGAATGGTAGCGCTTGCAGTAACTGCCTTAACGGCGTTACTGTACAAGGTGTTCGACCTAGTCCTATAAGAGAATCAGTTTGATGACTGATTTCTTATGCTAATTGTTTTTTCAAATTTAGTTTAATTGTTCTCGGCGTTCTGCTGTTTCTCCATTCTTCTTGGGTTCTTGAGTTCTAAAGAAGAGTCGTAAAGTTAGATTCTTCAGTCTTTCTTCAACCACGTCGTGTAGGAGGCACTGGACCGGGTCATAAGGAACCGCACCACCGTCATCGTCGCCCACCGCCTCCGCACCGTCAGGAACGCCGACAACATCGTCATCGTCCAACGGGGGCGCATCGTCGAGCAAGGCACGCCGTCGTCTTCTGCAATACCTGCAAGGACCGGATTTCACCGTCGACAGTGCCGGAGTCTGACGTAGGGTCGCACGAGGAGCTACTCAAGGACCCGGAGGGAGCCTACTGCATGCTCATCCGCCCGCAGGAGGAGGAGAAGGGGGAGTCGCACGCTGATCAGAGGAGCAGGTCGTCGATGGAGATCCGCCGCAGTCGAGCCAGATCCGATGCTCCATCAGCCTGGTATCCTCGAGGGGAAACAGCAGCCGCCACTCGTTCTCGGTGCCCTTTGTCGTGCCGGTGGGGCTCGGCATCTACGACGGTGAGGCGGCTCCCAGGGAGGAGGAGGCGCCGGAGGAGCTCCACGGCGAGCCGTCGTCGGCCGCCCCCTCGCCGCCATCCGTCTCCCGCCTCGCCGCCATGAACAAGCCGGAGATTCCGGTACTGCTGCTGGGGGCGATCTCCGCGGCGGTGGCCGGCGTCATCATGCCGGTGTTCGGGCTAGTGCTGTCCAGAACAATCGAGACGTTGTACAAGCCGGCGGGCGATCTGAAGAAGGGCACGAGGTTCTTCGCTCTGATCTTCACCGTCCTCGGGTTGGTCTCCTTGGTGTCCCTCCCGGCGATGTCCTACTTCTTCGCGTTGGCGGCGGCCTGGCTGATCAAGAGGATCAGGATGAAAACCTTCGAAAAGGTGGTCAACATGGAGGTGGCCTGGTTCGACGAGGAGGCAAACTCGAGCGGTGCGCCCGGCGCGAGGCTCTCGGTGGACGCCGCAGCGATCCGAAGCCTCGTGGGCGACGCGCTCGCCACGGTGGTGCAGAACTTGGCGACCATGCTGGCCGGCCTGATCATCGCCTTCATGGCTAGCTGGTAGCTCTCCCTCATCGTCCTCGGCTTGCTGCCGCCCATCGGTCTCAACAGCTGGGTTCAGATGATGTTCATCAAGGGTTTCGGTGCTGATTCAAGGGTAATCTTGATCATCATCATCATCATCATCATCATCATCATCATCATCATCATTTTCTTGTTCTTACGAGTTGATCGTCATCTTCCTTTTCTTCTGCCAGATGACGTACGAGACGGGGAGCCAGATGGCGAAAGACGCCGTGGGGAGCATACGGACGCTGGCTACGTTCTCTGCGGAGGAGAAGGTGATGGAGCTCTACAGGAAGAAGTGCGAGGTTCCGCTGAATGCAGGGATCCGGCAGGGCCTGATTTCCGGCAATGGCTTCGGGATCTCCTTCTTCCTCCTCTTCAGCGCATACGCCAGCATCCTCTACGCCGGCGCCAAGTTCGTCGAGGACGGCAGCATCACCTTCTCGGGCGTCTTCCGGGTGACCACCGATCTCAGCGGCGCCGCCGCCGAGCTTGAGGACCTGGGCCAGTTATCTGACAAGATCTTTTCTTTCTTACACTGGATGCGGCAGGTGTTCCTCGCCCTGGCCTTCGCGGGGATCGGGTTCTCGCAATCGAGCGGCATGGCTCCCGACTCGAGCAAGGCGAGGTCGGCCACCGCCTCCGTCTTCGGCATTCTCGACCGCAAGTCCAAGATCGACCCCAGCGATCTCTCTGGGAAGACGCTGGACGTGGAGGGGAAGATCCAGTTCCGGCATGTCAGCTTCTGGTACCCCACGAGGCCCGAGGTTCAGATCTTCCAGGATCTCTGCCTGACCATCCACGCCGGCACGGTACGCCCGCCTCATTAATCTTAACCTCAGGAAGAAGTGGAGCTCTCCTCGTTTCGACCGTCATATTTGAGGTGGTGATTCTCTTCTCTTCGGCCTGCGCAGACGGTGGCGCTGGTGGGGGAGAGCGGCTGCGGGAAGTCCACGGCGATCGCGCTGCTGCAGAGGTTTTACGACCCCCACGCGAGGCAGATCCTCCTGGACGGAGAGGACATTCGGAGCTTCCAGCTGCGGTGGTTTCGGCAGCAGATGGGCTCGGTAAGCCAGGAGCCCGTCCTCTTAAACGACTCCATCCGCGCCAACATCGCCTACGGCAAGGACGACGGCGCCTCCGAGGCGGAGATCATCGCCGCCGCCGAGGCCGCCAACGCTCACAGGTTCATCAGCAGCCTCCAGCAGGTGGGTCCCTGCCCCCATCCTCCTCTTCCTCCACCGTCTCTGTTGGAAGGGCTGCTGCCTTCCTTCTCTGAAGATTCTCCTTTCATCTTTCTCCCTGGACGATCTCTTGCAGGTGTACGAGACGGTGGTGGGGAAGCGGGGGATCCAGCTTTCGGGGGGACAAAAGCAGAGGGTTGCCATCGCCCGGGCTATCGTGAAGGATCCGAGGATCCTGCTGCTGGACGAGGCCACCAGCGCCCTCGACGCCGAGTCCGAGCGAGTCGTCCAGGACGCGCTTGACCGGGTCATGGTCAACCGGACGGTCGTCTTCGTCGCCCACCGGCTGTCCACCATCAAAGGCGCCGACCTCATCGTCGTCGTCAAGAACGGGGCCGTCGTCGAGAAGGGCCGCCACGAGACCCTCATCAACATCGAGGACGGCGCATACGCCTCCCTGGTGGAGCTCCAATCTAGGGTTCCTTCCTAGAGTCAACGGTCTCCCTCCACTCCCCTCCTAGTCTTTTTCCTGTAATAGGAGATGGATACGTCTCCGAAGTTGACTTATGTTTAGTTGACCTTTCGTGGAGAGGAATTATCGTGTGGATATGGATGAATAAACATAAGTGGTGGACGTAGGCCAGTGTGTACATTGAAAGATCCAGGTAGAAGATCGGGCACGGAGCAGACGACCTGCCGAGAGATGTACGTCTCGAGCTCGCTGGACATCTCCGAGAGCTTCAGATCGAAGCTGCTCCGGTACCTTTCCTGCTTCTGGGAGGGGGATCCAAAGAACCTACTCCTTGGGCTTAAGAACTTGCCGCATGGGGAACCCGGGAAACCAGCAGGGCATGGGGACGACCGCGGCGACCACCGTGAAGACCATGGCTCTGCTTCTCTCTAGGCTCAGCGAGGGGCCTTCATCTCCGACGGCAGCAACTTCTGCGCGGATAGCGGTGTCTCCGGTGTCTTCTCTCTGTTCATTCTCTCTCTTGCTTTCTCGGCGGCAGCTTGCGCCTTGTCCCTGCTCAACTTTATCAGCTTCCATGGGTCAATGCTGAAATCTGAGGTCCTCTCCGGATTGGTTCATCCGTCTACTCTTAGCCCTCATCGTTGGCCCATCCTGGAACGAGAAGCGGCGTTCTCTCGGTTATGGTTGACTGGATTCGGTGTAGGAAATAGATAAAAGTAGAGAGCCTGACTGACCTGTTTGGCCTTGCGCTCTTCGTACAGGAATCGAGATGCCAGAGAAGGTCTGTCCGCCATGTCGAAGTCAACTCTATCATCATCGTCGTCGTAAAAGAAGGAATCGAGGTCGTCAAAGGAATTCGCGAGATGACTTTGCAGCCTCATGGCCGGTATGTAGTCGTACGTCCTCGTTCCCTTCATCCCCAAAGAGTCAATATGGTGGATACCTGCATAACGACCACATTCCCCTACACAAGCGGTCAAAAGCACGCACTCGTCAACACCAAGACACATCCTCAGAATGTGCCCAGTCGTCGCCCTCGGCGTGTGCCCAGCCACCGTCTCCCATTATAGAAGATAATGGGTTGACCATGACTCACGATAGGAACAGCCAGGAAGCACTGCAGGAGTGAGAGACCATCGTTCACTGAAGGATAATTCTTCTTCCTCTCTCTCTCGCTCAGCACTGTGCTCTCTCTCTCTCTCATTGTCAGTCGAGTCTTGTAGCACTGTATCGAGTCTCTTTGTTATTTCTATCTCTTTCCGGAGTCCTCATTAAATAGCGTCTTGTAGTGGTGTCCTTCATCTCGTGAGACCACGAGAGAGTTAGTGTCTGCGTCAGCAGTCGTCAAGTAGTACTGTAGCTTGATAACACTAATACACGTCTCTCTTTTCTCTATATATTTATTAATTCTTTATCTTTCCTATCATTACCTCCACTATGCACCGGGGCTCTACCATAATACCGAGCATCATGAGACAATCAGACAGTATTAATTACGTTTCGGGAATCATTGACTGGAGTTCCAGACAGAAAAGGACGGGGAACAAACGTTGATTTTGACTTTTTGTCTTGATCATGAACTCTTGTCGGATACTAGCCGAAAACAGCACCTTTTAGATGAGAACAACGTGGAAGAAGAACTGCCCTACCGCCGCCGTCATATACGCCGTCAGGGGAACCAGTATTGCCTGCGTTTCATTGGAGCTTTGTGACCTTCCGATCAAGAGCTCCTACGCAGGTTAAGTCACGAGGATCCTCAGAGCATCCATAATTACTGAGATGGCAGCCAGGACGCCCCCAACGTAGAGAGAGTGAAGGAGAAAGAGAGAGAGAGAGAGAGAGAGAGAGAGAGAGAGAGAGAGAGCGAGAGAGAGAGTGATACCATGAGGACCAGAACCATTAGGACAGAGAAGTAGTTCTTTCCCCCAACGTAGTTGTTCAGCCACTGAAAAAAGATGAATCCATCAACATTGGGCAACGAAAGTAAGTCATTCGATACTTAATTGAATCATTCACATTTCCTTTCTGATGAGCAACGAAGAGATTAACCCCCGGAGCATGACCTCCATTGGGGATGACTTTTAGCCTATACAAAGGAGCAGATGTATAACTCTCTTCCGGGAAGAGACGGATATGAAAATACTCTACCTAGCTTTTCCATTTGTTCTTGAAAATGTATGAATTTGACCTAACGTTTCCATTTTTCTTCTTTTTTGTTGTGCGCCTGTTCTTAGTGGTTCTCTCTACCTCTTGTCTCTCTTGTAAGGCACCTTGCAGGAGTCACGAAGGAGATTAGCCAAATAGAAGTTCTTGGAGAGAGACATGAAGCAAGAGGTTGGCTTGCTCTTAAAGAACAACAAAGGAAATCTGAACTAGATTGTCAATCGAAGAACATCAAGAGAGACCAATGGTTGGTCTGATCTATTAAGTTAGATAGAAGATGTGGAGAACTAAGAACTTGAAAATCATATTGGTTCAAATTTAGAAGTCAAGTGAATCAAATTTCTAAAATATCATTTATTTCTCAACTTAAAATTAGTTTGTTGTTGGTAGATTTTATTTTCTATCACTTTAATCGCTTCAAAATCTTTAATAAGTGGTATCAATTTTTAAAGTGTGGGTGGAGAGAAAAATTTCTTAGTACTTCATTAAAATTTCACTTTGAGATATTGGGTTGGTCTTCTAACTTTTGCCCATGCTTACAGAGGTTAAAATATATGTTTATTTAGAAAGAACTTTCTATGACTTGAAAATACAATAAACTTAAAAAATTATGAATTTAAGGCCTTCCTTAGATTGTGAAATGGAGCTTGAACTGATTGAACTTCTAATCATAACTTTGGTAAACTTTGATTAAGAACTTTAATCTTGTATTCTTTATCATATGTCTTCTGTTTTCTTAGATCTATTGATATGAACTTAGATTTCTTAAAATTCAAGCAATCATCATATTACAGGGGCAAGAAGATTATTGTTTAAAGCATAAGAAATATAGGAATATGATAAGTACACATTTAATACTTTACTCATGCATTTTCACATGGTCGTTTATGAAGTGTATCATTTTCTTATTTTCTACAAGGATGAGGGCAAGATAAATGAGAGGAGAAATATATGATTAATAGTTTTTGTAGGGGAGATGATTAATGGATAATCATTATGCATGAGTATGAATATAGATTTATTTCTAATTTCATCATAGACTATTGAAGAATTACTGAACATAAAATAGTAAAATTGTAAAATTGACTTACTTGTTATTTTTGTAGATTGAGACATAAAGGGGATGTCTACAATAGGGCATATGATCCCAAAAGGGGACCCACTGCCAGCTTACCCCCTCATTCTTGATCATCTCTTCTTCTTCCCTTATTTCACATGGTTCTCTCCTACTGTGGAACTGGCCTCCTCTTCCCTTCTCCCTCGGCACCGCTTGCACACCATAGGCGGGCCAGCTCTTCCCTCCCTTCGCTTCTGACAGTGACAATGCTAGAAAACTATTGTGAATCTCCTCCCTTGGCACAACAAGAAGAGGATCAACCAAAGAAGCCCTTGTGTAAGGCTGTCATTCTCTCCCCATGTCTGTCAGAACAAGATGGAGAAGTTTATTTTTGTTTTGTTCCTTTTTAATTGTTTGTAATTGAACTTGTAATTTTTGTTTAATGTAATTCATATTTTTTCACTTAGTGACCCTCCTCATTTTGGTGATTTGATCATTCAAATTTGCTAAACTATTTGAGGAATCCTTTCCATCAAACATCCATAACTAGTTTATGTGGTGTTTGGTGAGACTTTGGGAGGATTTCTTCTCTCAACGTGCATTCAAGCTTCTTAAAAGATTTAGGAAATTCCACATTCATCTAGTTGTTGCTGAATTTCAGAAAATAAAATGAATTAGAATTATATCATTAATTAATAGACATCAACCAATCACACAATTCTCCATGTGTTGGACTTGAAATCTAGTATATAATTGAAATACACATAATTGGTGTTGATTTATAAAGTTAAGATTTGAAGACTTTAATTAAGGACAACTAGAGTTCATCAATTTTCAAACTCGTAAGCATGTTGCATATGTACACCCTCTAAAAACAACCCCATTCTTAGGTTCTACCTGATCAAACATTCTGATCACAAATGTTAATTGTCTATTTCAATTCTTATAAAATTTTACCGAGAAATGATTCATCGTTCTAGGTGGTCAGAGTTGATGAAATTCTCATCTCCTTTAAATGATTAAAATAAAATTTAACCACATGTTTATGTTACAGAAATATGAAGTATAATAATTGTTTTTAAAGCTGTGTTAACATGAAAGGTATCGATTAATTAGATGAAGAGGATGTTCATGCAAAATTGATTCTTGCTTTCCTCTTTGCATAAGAAAACTAGCTAAATGTTGAAGTCATTGCCACTTGGATATACCTAAAACCGTTTGGAAAGTTATTATTTTTAGAGAAATCGGATTCATAAACCTCTATTATTTTCCACATCATCCAACATTATATTTCGAAAATAGGTATAAAATTAAATATCTTAAAATATTTAGATATTCTCATTAGAAACTAATACATGATTTCATAGAAAATGTAACATCTATATCCTGAGCATAGCAGATTAGTCATCAAATAAGGACTTAATATCCTTAAAACATACCTAATATTATCTATCTAGAGAAAATGGTGATTTAGGATTAAAACCTTATCCAAATTATCTCAAACAAAACCATCATCAAGTAACCATACCTAGTCACAATTTGTGTGTCATACTTTGATGATATATAATATTTAAGAATATTTTCAAAATGTATTCATTAACATTGAGAAAGTTATAAAATGAGTCATCCAAATCTAATCTATTAAATAGATATCAAAATAAATCAAAAGTAATGATTTAACATCATAGCTCAAATTTTCATACTCATATTTTATTTATAGATTCTCACTTATTTGGATGTGTTAATCATTACTTTCTCATTGTGAAATATTTTATAAATACCAATAGTTCTTATACTA